ATATCAAAAATATACTCGTATTAAAAATTTAACTTGAAACTATTTTTTAAATAAGAAAAAAATAGCTTTCCTAAAAACACGTAATAAATGAGAAGAAAAGATATCTAATTTATTACATCCATTGTGGGATAAATAATATGTTTAATTTTAATAATATTTTTAAATAAATAGATGGTATTAAAAAATGAATGCAAATTACTTATATTTATTATCAAAAGCATTTATTAATTAAATTAATTAAAATATTAACTGTAATATATTATACAACTGTGGCATTTTATCTAATATTTTATAACCAATTATATATAATAGAAGATTATAAACTATATGTCTACTTATTTTTATAAGGAGATCTCTTATACTTATTTAAACCTTCAAAATATTTTTAGGAAGAGGCATGGTACATAAATTTAAAAATGAATAATATAGTTAATTAGTGATTTTAGAAATTTGAACTCGGCTAATTTTACAATATAAATATCGTAAGACATCTGCATAAAAATTATTATATACAATATTTATCAGATCTATAGGTCCGGTCCTAAGTCTTGCTCGGGTACACGAGTCTGGTCGTATTTTTTAAATATACCCGGCCAGGCTTGTTTAAAATATTTTTTTTATAAAAATACTCGGGCTGGGTTCGGCTGAATATTTTAAATCATCATTATTATCTATAGAAATTGAAAATAAATAAAATATATTTAATGTATCAGAGAACAAATCATATTATTCATTAATCAAATTTCCTGTTTCCATTTTTTCGATCCTTAGAAAATATTTCTAGTATTCTCTAATTAATTTAACTATTCATTATTTTAGGTGATATACATTTAAATTAAAAGCAACAGAAACATTCAAATTAAAAGCAACAGAAATACACTTAATATTTAAAATATACTTTTAAGGGAAAGTTTATTTTAGATAAGTAATATTTTATCTCTCTTTTACTCTGTCCGAAAATCAGGCTAGGTATGTTCCCAGGTATAGCACGCAAAATGAATGATTTTATATAAATTGCTATATTCAATTATAAGAATAGGGTATTAGCGAAAAGTGTGGTGATTCAAACTCACTCCTTTTACGATAATTGTGGAGATAAGGTGATTTGAAAAATTATAATATATTGATTTTATATTCGCTGAAAAACAATCTATACCGAATACGAAAATTATATCCTATTTTTAAAAGTCGTAGAAAAAGATTTATACACCCTGTCCAAATTTTTTTTAAAGAAATCCGGGTCGGGCTGTGCATATGGTACCTCTGCAGGATTTTGATATTTATATATTTGATGTTAAGAAATGCAATCAAATTCTGTTTTGCAAAATGGAATAACATTTATGAAATCTAAATAGCAGAGTTGTTAAAGTAGCTCGCTACTTAGCGCGCTATCTTTTTTGGTAGCTATAGCTAATAGCCGCTACTTTTTTTAAAATTATTTAATTTTTTAGCGCGCTACTTTTTTTAAGCGCTACTTAGCTACTTTTAAAAAATATAATGAATGTAAGTATAAACATGAAAATTTAAATATAATATCATAATTAATTATAATTTTTATAATTTATTATTTAATTTGGAAATTTAAATATATTTTCAATTTTTAATTTATATTTTCAATATCTGTGTTAATAATCTAAAATGGCATCGCCCATGGATATCCAAATTCTTGAAAGTGATTCAGACATGGAAGATTCAATGGAAGAAAATGTACTTAATAGCTCTAATAACGATTTCCCATTCCCTAGATTTGAAAAATTTTTTTAAATAAATATTAAAACAAAATCTGGATTCAAATTCCTGTGCTTAAAATGTAAAAAAAATATATCATCAAATCAATCGAGTAGCTATAACCTGAAGAAACACCTAAAGGTAAATTGTTATTTTTACATTATAATATTATTTATTTTATTAGACTGTTCACGCCAATTGCTATAAGGAAATAGAGAAACATATAAAAAATTTTGGTATAGGATAATCTTCATTCAAAAAGACAAATACTATCCAAACCAAATTAACTGATAATAAACATGCCAATATTTCACAAAAATTGGCTGAAGTAATTGTTGATTTTATTATTGACACAGTTCAGCCATTGTCCTTAGTTGATAATCCATCATTTACTATGATGATTAAAACTTTATCCCCTGGCACAACAGTTTTATGTCGCCAGACACTTATGAATAAAATAGACAACTTCAAAGTGATGAAAGATGCTCTAATAGTAGAGTTATCAGATATATCTTATGTATGTACCACGGCAGATAGTTGGACACATAACAGAAGGTAAAAACTTATTTATATTTATAAATTGATCTGATTAAATATTTTTAGAGCTTCCTTGCCCTCAAGTGCTAGTGTCGAGAGATTATTTAGTAAAGCAAAGCTTATACTTTCTGATAGTCGCTCTAGACTTGGGGATGATAATATTGAAATGATATTATTATTAAAATGCAACAAATTAAAATAAATATTTATTTATATTGCTTATTTTTTTATAATCTAAACTAACTATATTTTTATATTTATAAATGTTGATTTTTATATATTATTTATTATACATTTACATTATAAGCAAAAAAAAAATAAAAAAAATTTGTTTCATTTGTTTCTAAAATTTTTTTTATAAAAAGTAGCTTAAAAGTAGCTAAAGCTACTTTTGAAAAAAGTAGCTAATAGCGCGCTACTTTTTTTGACAAATAGCGAAAGCGGTAGCGCGCTACTTTTTTTGACAAATAGCTATAACGGTAGCGCGCTACTTTTAAAAATAGCGTTTAACAACTCTGCTAAATAGATATTATAGCCATTAACATTTAAATTTTCGACCCCAATCAATAACTAAGACGTCATTGGCTTTTTACAAAGGGGATGCAAATTTATTTTAAAATAAGTGCCTATAATTTCTTTCACTCTATATATAATTTGTGGGAAGTTTTTGAACCCAATACCCTCCTTATGCCCGGGCTCCGCCGGGTATGTCCATAGATTTATATCCTCTACTTAAATAATTATAATACACAATTCGCTAATCTAATTATCTTATATAAATATGGAATCTAACAAACAAAGAATGACCCCAATATGAAAGTTTTCATTTTTAGGTTTATCAAAAAAGATGGAAAAATATTTTTACCAAGTTCCTCCTTTGGTATTGCATTTTTTTCAGATAAAAGATGGGACTGATCAAATATGATTAATTGGAAAATAAACACAACTATTTGTTTACTCAAATACAAAGCAAAAATGAATGTATATTATATTAAATTTAAACAACCTTAACGTATTCTATCAATTAGGTTTTATTTATTTTGATGTTTTTTAAATATATTTTTAATTTTTATAGAAAATAATAGCAATTTAAAAAATTTTTTTGGCTCGGCCCAGGCATATTAATATAATAAGGCCTGATTTCAAAAATTTGGTGCTTCCATTATTAAAATTTGTTACTAATTTTTTAAGTTTCAACATTAAAAATAGGATTAATTTTAATTCAAACACTCTTTTATCATGTTTTATATATATACTTTTGAAAAACAATCTACATTAATACAAAGTGATACTTAGGAATAAAATTAATTTATACAAGTTAATTATTATAAGTATTATTAACAATAACCAATGAAATAAATAATAATAATAGTATACACTAGGCTTATTAAGTATTTATGATAATTATGGTGAAATAAGATAGGGGTCAGAGCAGCCATATGGCTGCTAGCAGCCAGCTAATAATATTATTCACAAGGCGTAATAAGTATTACGATACGGCATGTTGAGATTTATCAATACCTCAACACTAATTTTTAAAAAAGGAGAGGGGGTGTTTTTTTACCCAAAACCCCTAGATAACAACGTCCCTGATCAACAAATTATGTTTATACTTTTATTTAAAGTATCTATTTTTTTCAAATAGTTCGTTATTTAGGCGTTTATGATGCTTATTATGAAAAGTTAAACTAGTTAGTCTTTCTACAGGTGCTGATGAAGATAACAATTCTTTAAAAAATTTTTACCAAAATTTACAATTAAATCCTTACTCACTTGACAACTTATTTTGGATGACTTTGAAAAAAAATTGTGGTATAGTTTGTTGAATATTAGGTAATGATGATTGAGTAAAAAAAATTAAATCATTAATATTGTAACATGGAAGAACGTTTACCCTAAAGTTAAAGGAACAAGAATAAGATAAATAATTAATATCTTAATATACCTTTACATATTTTAGGAAATTACTGGTGGTTTGATTGTAGCTTTTTACAATTTGACCACAAGTGCACAAGCAGCGCTTGTTTTATCAGTTATTTAAAAAAAGATTGAATCAAATATTGCAATTTAAATTTATCTTCCATTGAATGTAAGATTGTATTAGAAGAGAAATACCGAGGGGTATCGTCAGGTCAACGTAATAGCTAGATTCAGAATCACTTATGCTTCCGTCAAAAATATGAATGAAAATATTGCAATTGTTAATAGTTTTAAATACAAATAACATGTATGAAAGAAATTATTAAGCTTTTTTCATAAAAATTTAATTAAAATTGCTAATTCAAGTGCCTGAAAAATGTTATCAATTATAATTATTAACTTATTCTTTTTAAGATAGAATTAATTACAGTTACTAATTACAAATAAGGAATGTAATTATTAATTAATTACATATGTGACATTACTGCCCAACCGTGATTTCTATCATATGCCTGGCATGCAACGTTTTGAATAACATTTCAAGCATGAGGAGTAAACCGAATACATTTTACATTCATTATGTTTTGAGTATTATTTTTTAATTTTTATCTATAAACTGATATATGTATATAAATGGAATAATAAATCGGAATATAAATTGAGATAAAATATTTATGTATATAAATTTTATTTTAAAAAAATCATATAAATATAAAATGTTGTAAAATTTTTTCTTTATCAAAATAAGTTTTTAAAAAAAAACTAGAGGAATGTTTATAAAATTGAATAAAATGCATAAATTGTAGAATAAAATATCACGTGAAAAATTTTAAAATGTCGTTCATGATTTAGGCTGCATATTTATAAAAAATTATTACATGCTAAGAAGTCATACGATTGACAAACGACAAGAGATTATAACTTCTGTAAAATACTAAAATGATAGCTTTGCGATATAAATGCATAAAAGGCTGGATAAAAATAGATGAACTTTAAGATATTTGAATTTGGAGGAGTCAGCACCGGCAATTCTACACCTAAAAAGGTCGTACCTATTAGACTTATTGAGCATTTTCTTTTGATATTCCGATTCGAGTTCCTGTATAAATTTTAAAAAAAAATTCAAAAAGTTCCAGAGGAAAAAAATTATACCTTTTTATAAGAAATTTTAATAAATTCGAAAAAATACATCTAATGAAAAATGTATAAATTTTAATTTAATAAAAAAAATTTAAATTACCGCTTGTAAATAAGATTATAATAAAATTTGTAGGGACGTGACGATATATTAAGCATAGGATCAAGGCGTATATTAACCGTTTTTTAAAAATAAATCGGAATTTTTTAATAAAGATAAATGAATAAAAGGAACTAATTTTCAATTTGTCGGTATTCTTTTTTAAAAAAATCGAATTATTTTAAAAGAAAAAGGTAGTTAAAAAGGGAGTGTCGAACCTTTTGATATATAAATTTGGTTAAGGTTTCAGAAAAAATAAAATTATAAAGCTTTAAGTTCGATTTAGGTATGGAACTTATTTTTATAAGGGGATGTTAATAAATTTTAAAACTTATTAAATGATTTTTTTATAAAAAATTGTAACAATTTACATTGATCATGAGACTAGTGAGAATACTACTTTCTATATAATAAAGATATTTAGAACATAAAAAAAAGGATTATAACGATTTTATTATATAAAATGATTTATGGATATTTATAAATTTTTTTAATTGATGAATAAAATTGAATAAATAGGCCTAAAATAATAGATCAATAAAAATTTGATAGTAGTATATTTTAAATCGCAATTATTATGGTTATGTAGTATATACTATAAAAAAGTAGGTAAATTGAAAAATTAAAAAACATTAAATAATAATAAAGAAACAAAATCAGTTTAATGATATCGGATCAGTAATCGGTTTACATGAATACAAAATTCGATTAATATTAATATATATGAGATAATTTTAGGGCTTTAAATAAAAAATAAACTAATCATTCCTTTAGTGAGAATGCACCATATGCCACTGTGGCCCGTGTATTAATCTAACCCTAGTCATCTCCTATAAATTAACTTATAGATCACATCAAGTCGTTAAAATAATAGATTAAAATTTAAGGGTGTCTCCCCAAATTATGCTATTAATAGTAAGAATAAAAAAAGGCATAGTGACATCTTAATTTGGTCTTCCAATTTTGATAAATTATTATTATATTATTTTTTTAAAAACTTACATCGCCTTCAAAATAAGTTTTAGGTAGGTTAAATGGATATTCGTAACCTTGTTTGCATTCACATTTATATCCACCTATTTTGAATCCTTTCCCCGGCAAAAATACGCACTATTTTTATTTTATTTTTATATGTGTATAATTTGTAAATGTAACAATTCTATTATATGCTCTTAATTATATTATTGATCATTATATGAATGAATGTTATTGCCCAGTGGTCCCTAATGAATATTCGAATTAAATTTAATCTTATAATCGAACTCGAATAATTTCATCGCAAAATTCACGAATTTATTGGATATTCATTGGTTTAAAAGAATTTCACATTTGATCCAAGGCATGAGGGCTAGTAAGGATGTTATATTAGAAATGGACAAAGGTCTGCTGTGGCTAGGGGTTTTGCCCAAAAAGTATTAGACTATATTCACAATTTTTTAAATTCATTTAAGGAAAAGAATCTTATCTTGATTAATATTTTAAAAAATGGACGTTGTTTATCGTCTAAAATATTTTTTAGAAAACGCCATGTACAGTAGTCACGTGTTAACGTTATGTATAATTCCTGTAAAATGTAGCTTACTTTTTAAAGTTAGAAATTCGAAATTCTTATTAAATAATCATATTAAGATAAAATTTAAATTCTAATATTATTAGTCCAAAACTAAATTGCATAATATATTTGAATAACCCAAATTAATATTCGTGAATATTATTAAATGAAATATTTGATTCGATTTGTGAATTTGGTGCACTTATTCCTATTTGTGAATAAATGTGATTTCATAAATAGGTCTAAAATTGCATTATGATTTTTATAAATGTGAGATTTGTAAGTAACATTTTTTAAGTTTTCCTCCTTCCTCAGTCGTTGATCCCTCTTTTTTTTCAATTCATTCATATAAATTAATTATTCTCTATTTTGATCTACAACTAATGATTGGTAAAATTTTGATTAAAAAATTAAGCCTAAAAAGAATTTGAATCTCAATGATCCAAGAATGTGGATAAATTCTTCGTGGCGTTTAAATTAATGTTAGAATGTTGTTTATTAAGACTCGGACCAAAAAATAATTTTTTCCTTCCAAAACATAAAAAACCAAAAGCAAAAAATAATATAATATACAAAAAAAACAACCTTCGAATTTCAAAAATTTGAATTTAAAAAATAAAGGAATTTTAATTTAAAAAATAATTTTTGTTTAGGTATATATATATATATAATATATATGTTTTTGTCTGGCTGAATGTTAGTGAACATTCGAAAAACAATAATTTTTTGGTCCAAGCCCTATGTTAATATTATATGTAAAATCGTTACGTATTGGGATTCATAATGGCATTTATCGGAACCCTTAAAAGGGTTAGGCACGTGATATTCTTGAGGGCACTGATCAATGTCCATCTCGGATAGCTGTACATCAATTGTCACTATACCTCTTTAAAAAGAGATAGTTTAAAAAATAAGGAGTATATAAGTTCCCTTAGTCACATATAGTGTACTTTTTCAGACATATTGACTCTGGTAAAAGGAACATGGTGTAATCTTTTAATCTAATTAGTACCAATCATAGGCGTAGTCAACATCGGAAAATATGATATTTCTGTTCTCATAAATATAATTTTAAGCTTATAAAATCACCCCCCCCCCTTCCTACCATTAATAAATGTATAGAATATATCATTATAAACAATAATTTGAAAGAAAAATAAGTAAAAGTTAGCTATTTTTAAAATAACGACTACAATTCAAGATATTTTAGAAAAAAGGGATTTTAATAAAAAAAAGTGAACTAAAATTACTTTTATAAAAATATAACATAGCGAAAGGTCCACAATAAGTAGACCTAAAGACTTACAATAAAATTTATGGCGGAAAAACCTATCTAATAGTACTCCCTCCCTCTATAGGAAATTCTTGGATATACCTATGGTACTAATAAAGGTTAGTATATTTTGTAAAAAAGTTAAATACACCTCTGAAAAAGTTCACTATATGACTTAAAAAGCAAAAATAAGACATTAAAATGATTTTTTTGTGGGCGTATATTTTTAAATAATCCGCTAAAGTTCAATATTTGAAAAATTGTAAAGGGGTTGAAATGTTATGTAATGAATTCAATAAAAGGTACAATTCGAATGTAATTAAATCGAATATCAAGGCTTGAAATTTGCTAATATTTCTTCCTTCTCATACTTGAATTCGTAATCCTTTTTGGAATGGTCATTCATCCCGAAAAATGGTGTGTAATAAGTGAGCAGCCATGTCTTTAAGCCCACACCATCACAATTGAAATATGGGCCATACCAATCCCCTTCCTCGGCCGCGTAATACAAATCGGGAAAGTTTTCGTATCTGACAAGGTTTGAACCAGTTTTGTCGGCTCGTACTTATTTTATAGAAAGGATTCGAATTAATCATATATACATACATTAATTTATTCATTTAAGTAGTTAGTAATTAAATTACAAGCATTCTTAGAAAACTATTCTAAAATCATTTCCAACCGATTGATAGAAAATGGATCTTCTAAAATAATGAAAGAGAATTAAGAACAAGGTTGCGGTGTAAAAAAATGTTTCCATACCATGAATGTAATTGGTAAACCGGGTCAACCTATCGGTTCCCTTGATCGTCCCATATTTTTCTTTGGCGTTTTTAAAGTAGGGCAAATTTTGCGTGTAATCAAAATAAAAGGCTCCTTCGTCATTCAGATCACTTCTAAACTTTGTGGGAGGCGTGTTGAATATATTGGCGGCTTTATCAACTACCATAAAATTAAGGTCTTCAGCTGTTTTGTAAGCGAATGGGGCAAAATAGGGCCTGGTTCCGCCTATTCATTTTAAATTGAGAAATGAATGGATGATATATAAAAGTTTAATGAATGGATGATATATAAAAGTTTATTTTTAAACATTACAATTATAAATTTTATTATTAAAAAAATAGGTATTAAAAAATTATCATTTAATTTATATATAATCATAAACTTCAATAAAAATATCGAATCATATCGTTTTAAAATATTGCCAGGATTCGATTTTTTTAAACGCTATATATGTCGGCTCCATCCGATATTAATCGGCAGAGCCCTAGAAAACAATAAAAGGCGATTTCATATATTATAGGTTAAGATTAGTGATAGAAAAATAGAATAATATTACCGGTAAAGTGATCAAAAGTGTCTCTAAGATTATGGTACACGGCCCAGGCGATTAATTAAAAAGTTAAATTAAATCAAGTTTGAAATATTGGGATCGTTCAAGATTTATTTACTATTTTGCAATATTTTTCAATTTATAAAATAGAGCCCAAAAATAACGAAATTTTGAAAATTTAAGATAAAATTTTGATCTCTGCAGTACTCTGAGATTTATCAAAAATTTCATGTTTTTTTTTATTTCAAAGCAAATTATAATGTTTTAAATTTTTGCATACTATGATATTGAAAAAAAATGGATGGGTTCTCTCAGGCGCCATTTAATCGTAAATAAGAAAACATGTTTTTTATTAACGATTAAATAGCGATTGAGAGTCTATATATATATATATACAAAAAAAATTAACTCGAAAACTTATCCTTTGCCTGAAAATATAAAAAATTCCGGAAACATGCCTACTAATCGGAAATGGCATAATAAAAAATATAATTTTATATTATTATGATGAATTCACACTTTACCTATTGATCAGAGAGTATAAATTAAGAAAGAAATGAATGAATGCAGCTAGAGGTGATAACTAAAATAGGGGGGGGGGATAAATTAGAATAAACAATTACCATCTCTGCTTTCGAAAGCGTTTGTATCGTAGAAGATACCGCTACCAACTATCTTGTAACCCGACATAACGTTGGCTAAAACCTCCCCATAAAGTTGGTCGATTGTTAAAACTTGATCCGTGAGTCTTTTAAATTAAAAAAATTTATAAATGACAATATAAACCAGATTTTAAAATAATGGATACAGTAGAGGTCGGCACAAGTAGATTATCGATGCGGGATAGACAACTTGCGCTAAATAAACCGGGTCTAAAGTTTGCAATTTATTTATTCCCTTCATAAAAATGTTATGGACCGGATCAAAAATATCCAGAGATCGGACCTCGAGTATATAGGTACTGCAATAAAATGATAAAATTTTATAAAATATTTTTTTAGACAATATATTTACCTTTTTTTAATAGTAAAGGTTAATTTTATCAATTCATAAAATCTAATCAAAACAAGAGTTTGGAAAATATTTTTATTTTTGAGTAATAATCTTCTTTTTTTGAAAAATAGAAATTATCAAAATTTACCTAAAAATGCCAAAATCTTTTAATTATCATTCATAAAAAAAAACTTTTAAGATGAAATCAAAATTCTTTAAAATAATTTTGAAGATCTTTTTCCAACTCTAAATCAAAATATAAAAAATACATTATAAATCATATAAATCTATGTAAAACATTAAAGACATGAAAATATCTTTTTTTTTCAAGAAAAACATTAATTGTGTTCCCAAAAAAGGAACAATAAGTTAAATTTAAATATTTGTAATTTTAACATTCTGTCTAAGAAATAAGAGAAATACCTAGGTTCAACTGTGTTATTTTTATTTTATGACCAATTTTTTAAAAAAAAGCGAAAGTGAGAGGTGCAAACTGTCCGTTGGTAGATGTTACAATTGGCGAAAATATAATTTTATCCCTTTTTATAATTGTTCATTTTTATAAGTTGTGCTAGAGTAGGCAGGTTGTTGTTAATATTTGGTGGGAAGGCAAAGACGCATGTATAATCTCAAATCAAAAATTTGCTAATGAAACAGGAGGATAATTTTTATTTATTAGGATTCTTAAATGTCTTATAAATTTTATATAATGTTGTATATATATATATTCATAAATCTTAAAAAAGTTACTAAAAGTCTAATATGCATTAATAAACAATGATTAATTGAATTTTAAAACTTAAGTCTTCAAAATGATTACAAATTGATTTATTTTTAATTTTAAAGAACCTATCGGTGAATACGTCAGTGGGATCCACTTTCTGCAAGTAATAAGACAAAAAATGGGCCGTTCTCCTTGCCACTCGCATTTGAGATTCGAAGGTGACAGGGGCCTGGTAAATCATATCGTCCCCCGAAATTTGATTTTGATTCAAGTGTTGTTTATTTCTGTGGCAATTGTCCTTGTTGATCGACCTCAGACTTGCCAATAATTCTAGAGTTCTGGAATGAGATTTTTTGGCATACGAGCTTCGCTTGCTCCGCTTGTGTTGACTAATTTTTTTTTAATTTAAATTTCATTCAGATATATAAACTTGGGCTGTACCGATAAATTTTTTACCGATCCGATACTTATATTGGTTCTTATATTCCATCTACCATTAAACCAATATCATAAGAAAATCAATATTTCCTGAGCAAAAAAATAAATGCCTGAAAACTATGGGAAAAACAAAAAAATTGATATTTCCTATTTCTCATGTCCAAGGTGATATTGCATAATCACAAAGCGTAGTGTTTTATTTTTTATTCCCCAAAAATTAATCAACTCATTTAAAATATAGGTTATTTATAGCTACTAAATATGACTCGTTAAATGTTTTGAAATCCTTTCCCTTGTGGCAAATAATGTAATAAAAAAATTATATCCCCTTCTCTTTTTTTTAGCCTACTGCATCTTTTAAAATAATTCGATTTTTTTTTAAACATTCCAAATAAAATTAAATTTTGGTTCTTTTTATTAGCTTATTATTATTTGGAAATTATGTGTAAAATAAAAAAATATTATAACCATAAAAAAAATTAAAATAATATCGTATCGTTTCTTTAAAAATGTCGGTCCGATTCGACTTTTATTTAAACGTAAAATATTAGCTCCGATCTAATAATTAAATATCGCCACCGCCTATTATATATATATCGTATCTCTTTAACCCTGGATTAAAACTTAGCACGGCTGTATTTTTGTGTATTCATATATACTTCGCCGTGAATTCGCGCTAAATGTGAAATGCAGGGTAATATGTCTAAACCAAGATCTTAAACGGATTAATGAATTCCAAATATTAAAACATTTAATGAGTCACGTACAATAAACATTGCTCATATTTCAGGCGAAATTATTAACTTTGGGGAATAAAAATAAAGAGGCAAAATAGATTAATTTGTGATAATACAATAATATCGTTATTGGCCATGAAACGAAAAATTTCAAAGAGTTTCCTATTTTGCTCATAGTTTACATGTGGTTGTACAAGCGCCAAAAATGTATATATACACTGCTAGGTTGGCGATTCATTTATTAAAAGTGTCCATACATAGAAATCAGCTGTAGAGGCATTTTTTGTTATGTAAGTTGACTAATTCTCTTATTTAACATTATATGAACGCACATTAGTGTCATTTAATCGAGGTGCAGACCATAAAAATGGTGCTATAGCTGACTCTTATGTATGGACACTTTTAAGTGTTACTAAATCTATCGTCAATCTAGTAGTATTATACATCATTGACAGGCGCATCAATTCCAAAGATTAATTATTGATATTCTATTTGTTTAACTTTTTGCTGTTTTTTGAAAATAAAGATGCTTTTCTAATATTTTTTGCTTTTATTCCTTTTTAAAAAGTGCACTTTTCGTTACTATTTTTGCAACCAATTTTATTCGCTTGGTGGACCAAAACTCATCAAAATTTCATATTTCCTCGAAAAAAAAAGATACAAATACTCTGTAGCCTATAATGGCAAACATTAACACCAATAAAAATTATGTACACCAGAATATGAACTTGAAGATTTTGTATGGAATGGATTCAAACATTTGTAAAGCAGAAAAATACTGTCCGTTTTATTTCATTCCTACCATAATGTATTCAATTACGATTTTAATTTAGAGTTTAATTATCCAAATAATATACAAATCCCTTCAAGGAACAGTAAAATGTATATCGAATGAAATATAGGACGTCAAGATATTTTTTTGATCTAAATGCTTTAGCGGGCCTAAATTTAAATAACGCATCATTTTATCAAACGATAATTAACCTTACAATCTAAGATCGCACAGTAAATTAAATAAAAGGGTATATTGTGTGGTATAGTCAGAAGGGATATCATATCAGGATGCAGTAGAAACGATAGATCTCTACTTTAAACATTTTATAAATCAATTTCAAGATCTTTTTTTAATTAAAAGAAATTATTTTGTGGTCAAATTTGTGCTTCCCGCAAATTACAAACTCTATCATGTACATTGCTTACTAATTTTTTTGTAAACAATTCTTCTATTATAAGTAAACGCAAATATTTTCTATAAAACTTTGATTTTGGGAAAAAAAAAATTAATGTGAGAGATTTTGGGGTAAATTTCAGAAATTACAAAAAATTTGATAGCTGTGGTAGAATTTAACACTTAAAAAAAAATTGTGGTAGTTTGCTTGGTAAATATGGGAACAACCCTGCTTCTTAAAAAAATTATCCGTTTATTTTTTACTTTGCTAAAAAATGAAATTATTGAAAGTATCTTAAATCATATACCAAAATTTATGCCTGAATGAATAATTTTCAAGCTAACAAATAAAGTTAAAATAAATCAATCATATAGATTAATAAAAAAAAATATATATAGATTAATCCAATTATTAATTACGATTTAGCCTGAATAATAGACTTTATTTCAAACAAATACTTAATTAAATTCATTTATTCGCTAACCTATGTGATTTTGATGTGGTATTCTTTTCATCTTCAGAAGCCCTTTTACTTAGATACCTGTTTTCCGTCAATGAATAGGGGTCATTAACTATTTGTTCTTGGCTATTTACAATTTTTTTTAAAAATGATTTAGTTAATAAATAAAAATATATTATATAAATTTCAGACCTGCAGGCCTGGCCTGAATCCCGGGTACATGGGCCAGGCCTAAAAATGTTTTTTTAAAAAAATAACCGAACCTGGCCATATATTTTAAAGCCGAATAATACAAATCGCCATTATTAGCAATTAAAAATAAATGTAATAAATTTTAAAAAAATCTGGGGCAGGCCAAAAAAAATTTTTTTAAAAAAGGGCCAGGTCTGAAAATATAAAATTCAGGCCAAAATCAAGAATCTGGGCCAGATTGCAAATGGTACCTCTGCATGTCTCTGATAAATTTAGTAAATTTCTAAACAATATAAAAGAGAAAATTTATTGTATAAACTTGTAATTAATGTATGAATAGGTGGCATCATCCGTTGAGCTTGGATTAGGGTAAAATTCGATTCCTGAAATTGTTTTTTTTTGTAAATTGTGCCAAATAAATTTAATAAAATATAACAAAATAATAAAATATCATAAAAATAATGTACACTAGAAGATCCTTTACTAAACACAAAAAATGACATCACTACCTATTAAAAAAAACCATCTAGGTCATTGAAATAAATATTCAAAATAATCCTTAGAACATATGTAATATCTAATATCCTTTTCTAAACACTAAATCAAAATGTTAGTTTTGGCATAAAAATACAATGTTTAAAAGATTTAACAAAAAAAAACTTTGATTTTCGATACAATCAAAACCATTTTCATATTCTTGTTGAGTAGACTTTTCAATGTATTCACCCAGAAATGCTCCTGACTGCCAATCCGGTAGGCGGTAACCTGGTTTACAAACACATATATAACCACCTCTCCTAAAACCGTATCCATTCAATGGTTCACACTAGTTGAAATATTAGAAGGAAAAAAAATGTATTAATAAATTTATTTCCAAAATGTATTTAAAAAAACAAAAAGTAGAAAACAAAAATTCATTAGACCGAGTAACATCTGAAGGGGTGGATTATTGATGAATTCTAATATTTGATGGAAATGAGTGTATTGTTCTTTTAACAACCCGCCAATATTATAAATAGTTGTTTATTATGGTGTTTAACAACATATATTTTGGGTTAGCCTTGTATTTTAAAAAACCAGGCCATGCAACCTGAGTAAAAAATTGGAAAGTCAGGCCAGGTACAAATTTGGATAGGCTGGGCAAAAGCTATATTTCAACTGGGCCAAGCCTAAAATTTTTTGCATATGCCATTTACAACCAACCCTATATGTTTAAATATGTAAAATATATTTAACATAAATTTAATTTACCACTGTAGTATTCTTGCATCTTGCAATGCCAGCAAATATGTTTGGTTCTTCATTTCCTCTCATTTTTGGACATGGGTTAATATCTATCCTATTAAAATCTATATCTGCTGTTGATACTGCTACATATCTATAAAAAATAAATGATATAATATAGTTGATATTAATATTAAAATGGTTCTCTTTTAATTTTTATAACTTATAAGTTATTTAGGAATTAATTACTTATGTTTTCTAAGATGTTTCCAAACAGTGTGCCTTGGGAAATAGTCAATAATTGGAGATGTAGCTGTCATGATCCATTTATTAGATCTTCTACAATCAAAATAAGGATATGTCCATTTAACAGGTCCTGGATTCTCAGCAGGGTCTGGTGGGCCAAAAAATGCAAAATTTTCTTCAAAAATTTTCATTTTGGGAATATATTTGAGTTTATCCATTTCATTTGAATTTCCAAGTGAATTATAATCTAAATTAGAAAATTGATTGCTGTCATTTAAAACAGGATTATTAGTTGAATATCCTTTAAGTATATATTTTGCAATTATGTGATATTGTGTTTTTGATAAATCTCTGGTATCATCAGGTAACCATAACCTATACCATTCATTGACCTTAAAATACTCATCTCTATCATATCTAGAAGTATCTAAATCTGCTCCAAGATCAATTGCTTTAACAGTTTGGAGTGTTGGTAATCTATTTGGATTATAAATATCTAAATAATCATCAGTTCTATAGGCATAAGGACCAAAATAAGGTAAAGTTTTGTTAAAAAAATCTCTATAAAAATTTGGATATGATGAATTTGGACTAAAAATTAATCCTGAACCATTTAAATAATAGTTTGATGCAACATCTGCTATCTGAGATGAATAATGATACATAAGGCCTGGTTGTTCTGTATCATTAGATTTAGCAAATATAAAACTAAAGAAAAATGCCCTATTTAAAGCAATATCATGAATTAATCTCAACATCGTTCTGTTTGAGTATATTGGATCAATCTTTTTCAAGCTTGGTATCTGGGGAACTGATTCAATAGGCAGGGTAAGTTCTGATAATTGTTTTGTTTCACAATTTTCTGCAGACACTTGGTCCATTTTTATCTCGATTTCATCAAATGCATCTTTAATTTGCCATTCAAATTGGGCGTTGCAATGCGAACAAATGATAATAAATAAAATAAATATCATTTTTTAATCTAAAAACTTTGAGTATACCGGTACAGGTAAAAAAAAATCAAAAAGATATCATATCATATCATATCAAGCACGTTGTTCATAGACCTGCCCAAGATGAGCGAACGTTAATTACATGGAGAGCTGCCCTCCATATAATTATGCCGTTTTTTTCTCAAGGTACCAACAAACCTTGTAACTTAGATGCTTTACTATAATGAGTGGAACTATGCCCTATCGAATTTGTATTAGAGTATAATATAGTTATGAGTGTATAGGAGAAAAGATAAGAAAGAAAAGAGAGAAAAAAAAAACTATTTCTTTCAATATAAAAATATTTTTATTTAATTAGTTAGGGTTTCCTTTTAGATAGTGAGAGATCTAATAAATTTTGTATTGTACATATTATGTAATCAGTCTAAAGCATTACAAAAAAAACCTAATTAATTGTTTGTATTATAAGTATTTATAACTAATATTTAGTAATTATCCTATATTGAGAGATTTTATAAACTTATTACATATTATGTAATCAGTCTAAGAATGTTATCAAAAACCTAGTTAATTTTTGTTTAAGTGTTGTAAGTATTTATAATTTGTATTTAAAGATTATTACATTATTTTCCCATAACCGTACATGGCATATAAGTTTTCTTACATAGTACTAAAGTTCTATAAATAGTATAATGTGATATCTAACTTTATATTAAATTTCGCTATATAATTAGAGTCTTTCTTTATTTGGGCCTATATAGATCTTTTGATCTAATTGGCGTATAAAAATAACAAAATCAATTTATACAATTTAATCATTAAACCTATGTTAATAATAACCAATGAAATAAGTAATAATAATATTATCCACCAGTATTTTAAGATAATTAATGTGAAATAATTAATAATAATGGCTTACTAAATATTTGCGATGTTTAAGGCATGCTGAGATAACAACACTTCAACATAATGCACATTAATGTCATTTGATCGAAGTACAAATCATGAATGGTGTGACTCTTATCTATGAACACCTTTAAATGTATTTAATGAATGACTCGACAATCTAGTAGGATATATACATAATAAAAAATGTATTTAAAAAAGTGAAAAATGGGACGCTTCCCAAAGACGTTATAATTCATTTGGCAAATTTTATGTCTGACTTCATTCCTATCAAATTTTTTAAAATATTTTGCAATTTAAGATATTATGTTACTTCTATATCTATTAAATAAACCGAAAATTATTTATAAAGATCATTGAATTAGAGGATTCACAATTATTATGAATTCCAGGAAAAGAAAATTAATGTTGGTTAATAGTGGGGGTTTTTGCCCCTACCCCTAGTTGGAGTAGTAGAAATCGGCTTACTCAAACCAGTGCCAAAATATCGACCCTGACACACAACCCGTTGACCCGTGTTTCAAATGATTTGAAATATATAATTAATATTAAATATATGAATATATTATGTGACTTATCCAAAAGTGATGCGGATATGCCTCCAGAAAATCAAGTCGAAGAATTAAAATATTAGTTTTAAATTGATGAATTTTGAATCGAAGAATTTAGTATTCTTCCTCATTAGTATCCAATGATTTTATTAAACGTACGAATTGAAAAATACATTATTTAATACGAATAACAAATAATTTGATTTTAAAAAATCAATATTTTGCAGATATTTTATTAACTACATAATTTATTTTTACATTTGCCAAAATTCATAATCATACAATCAAATCATAATAAGAATTACTAATTGTAATTACTAAATTAATTTACAAAAAAAATTCATAAAGTTTTCCCAATTGTTTCTTCTTTTAGAAAACATGCTATTTTTAATAATAAATATCATAGGCTCACAAGATATAAGGAGTGTTATTATTTCTCTCCCTGATTGCATAAATTAATAACTAGTATTTACAAATAATTCAAAAATTATCGAATAATTAAAATATTTGCTAAAATTTGCGATTTCCAAAAATTGTAATTCGGATAAATAATTTAAATTTATTATTCTTAAAATTTTATATGATTATTATATCGTATTCAGAAGTCATTGATAAATTTAAATTTCTAATCAAAGCGAATAAAACTGATTCGAATAAAGCCTATGCGAAGGATATTTCATATTTAATTTAATTTATTTTGTTTTCTCATTTGTTTTTTATAATAATTTTTTTAATAATTTTTTAGATACTTATTTTCTATTTTTTTTAAAATTTTTAACTTATGAAGATAATGAAATTAAAGGAGAAATAAATGGTTAAACTTTTGCTATTTTTTCATTCATAAAAATGAGACTGCTTTTAAAAATTTATTTACATATATAATTTAATCATTCAAAAAATACATTGATGGACCTTAAAATATATTTACCTTTGAAATCCTCTAAAAATAGCTGCCAAAAATTATATTGTAAATTTTTATAGACGTGGCAAGGCCACTAATTGTAATTTAAAAAATCCAAGTCGGGTTAGAAATTTTTTTTTAAAAAAAATCAGGTAAATATATTTTAATAAATCCCAACTAAGTTTTATAAATTAAATTTTAAAACTCACAAGGAACAAAGGGTCCTTGATTCACACTGATTCCTTAGGTTGTATTTCCTTGGCATAGGATTTCAGATTCACTGATTTTTCCGTCAAAATAGTAAAATTGCAGTCATTTCTCGAGATTTCTAAAAGAAAACATATATTCTGATTTATAAAATATCCATTTCTTCCCAATAATCATATGAATCTTAGAAACTTATGATAATGAGACCTTCCCGTTCATAAATATATTGGGAAAATATAAATACTCCCTTGTCTCTTATAAAATCAAACAATTTTCAGTTTACTTTGACTGGAATCAAATTATGTTTCAAGAATAGAATTGGGTTTGATTTTTTATTTGTATCAGGGCCTTTAGCGATATATAAAAAAACAGTTTTATTTATATCAAATTTACACGGCTCGGCTAGGATCTTTTTTGCAAAAATTTTTTTGGCCGGGTTTTTTTTAAAAAGTTTGTTTTTTAGAAAAAAATATCAGGCCCGGTCCAGCTCTGGTATTTTTTTTTTAAAATTTATGGCCGGGCCTGCATGTCTCTGATTTGTATATTAAACCATATAAATATAGGGAAGTTTATTACATAAACCATTTTTTAAGTTTTTCTCCGATGTTACATATGCTACTTAAACACGATTTGCTTAATTCAAAGTTTTTATTATCTCATTTGTCATTTAAAATTTATATGGAGATTTCAATAAAATAACATTTAAGTCAATATTTCTAATTTAAAATATAATTTGAATAAAATATGACCACACACTACAAATAAAGTTAATATTAGAATATTATTCCGCCAAGGAGTTATAATATTTTTATACTTAATCTTAAGATAACAGAATTGAAAATAATATATTTTGGAATTTTAAGATCAACTAAAGGTCTAAAAAATTATTTGGAGAAAGTTAATTAGATATTTTTTAATTTTTAAAATATTTAATAGAGCATAATATTCTATCATATTCATTATTAATGTTTGATTTTTTTTAAAAGTTAATAATCATAAATGAGGAAGAATCTATACAACCTTGAAACCTTATTACAGTGGAATGATCCTGCTCCGAAAATGTTTAAAATGTTTACTAATTTATGTCCAGAAGATACAGGTTTAGCGGCTATGTTGCATTCCTTTACTTACACAACTATTTTGAGTAATTCTTTGGTTATGGGATGGCATGAAAAATCATGTAAGTACTTAAAATTTTTGTCGTTTAGTTTATAGGTCGTATATATCTATTATTCAAGAAATTTAGATAGCTTTATGGATTAAATCCTTTTTATTTCGAATATACAAGTATAGTTCTAAAAGATAATTTTTTGCAAAAACTTTAGGCCCCATGCGGGATAAATGTATATTCTGTTTTTTTACTGAGCTATTAGAAAAAAGAACATCGGATAATACACCTCATTTGGATATTCAATATTTTAAAAATTGGTTGAAAGGTAATATATTTTTTTGAATTGTATTATAAAAATTGGTTGAAAGGTATATATATTTTTTTTAATTGTTAATTATTCAACTGCTACTTAATTTTAGTTATCTGCGAGCACAATGGTTTAAAATTGTCAAATGATTTCATTCAAATATATAGATCAATCATTGAAATTATGACGAAAGAATCTGTAAGCTTCACGGACTGGTAAACATACCTTAAAAATTTTATAGAGAAATTTATAAAATTTAGGAGAGACATATATGGGAATGACGCTGTTCATCTATCTAGTAATTTCAGAGGATTAATTAGAACTAGATGTAAAACCTAAAAGAAATAAATCTTTTTGTTGTTACCCATAAATTTTTATATGAAATTCTATTTACAAGCAGAGTTGGGGTAGTGTTAAATGTAATCGTGGCAGCCCAACTCATCAATTTTAAATATATAAGATAGTTTTCAGATCTCTAGAGAAAGATTTAAGTTATTACCACAAACATATAATATAACCACTCAGGTTTAGAACGTTTTGGCTTTCATAACAAGCCCACCCCCCTGGGATTTTTTTAAATTGATTTAAAAAAATAATAATTAAAAAGATGCCAAGTGAATGAATGTTAAATTATCCATGATGTTCAATTTTATAGGTTAAAATTTATTCTAAGAAATTTGGCACGATCCAAGTTTTTTAATTTTTTAAATCACATTCCTGTTTAAGGCCGCATCGCGGGATCCGATCCCACACGATTTAACAGCTGATCGATTTTTGAAATCTGTTAATGCGATCAATTTTTCTTTATTAAAATTAATTTTATCTTTAATTCTATTCATGGACGTTAAAATCGTTCATCTAACCGTATAATTTGTATTTTTAACAGATGGTAATTAAACGTGTCAAATTAATTTTACTAGACATTTAGAAAGATTTCTTAGTTACTCGAAAATATAAACCTTCAACTACAAATAAATATATTTTTCTTTAAGACTTTTATATATATAAATTTTTCTGAATAAATTATATAAAATTATTATTATTTATCTTTA